AAGTTAAAAATAAATTAAAAGTTGGCTTCCATGAGAAAGCAAACAAGCCAATACCATTTATAGTAATTCGACATGTCACTGAATAGCATCATTTTTATAAATACACTGAAAGCCAGTCATGAAATAACTGGTTAACAGTTCCCTAATCACAAGGGCTTCCTCTGCTACACATTTTCCTTATTTATCCAATGGCTTCTGTTTTATATCTAGCTTGCTAATGGAAAGAGGGGCAGGGGGAGGGGGAGAAATTTGCATTAAACTGATCCAGCAGATGCACAGAGCTGGGGCCTCAAACACTGGCTTCTTTTCAGCAGACACCAAAGGGCAGTGGGGGAGAGACATTTCAGCAAAATTCTTTCTCTGCAGTAACTACCACAGAAACACATTTCCCTCTGTTTGTAGCTACTCAATATAACTGCAGCTCAAATGCCAGAAGAATATTTTGTGCTCTCTGCATTTAGAAAAGAAGGAAATGGAAAAATACTAAAGAAAGTTCCTAGTATGGTGGTCTCAAAACAGCAGTAAAAGTCTTCCAAGAAAGTACAATCTCATAAAGAAAGCAAAACAATTTAGCCAAAAAATATTTGTTTTTTAATGATCCAGAAGTGTTTTACAACCATGCATAAGAAATACATCATTTTATAAGACTGTTTATATTCTAGGCTGTATGAACCATTCAGAGTTTTAGAACAACTCTGTATCAAATTTCTTACAAGTGCCAGGAATGCCTTTGCAAGCATGACTATGTGCAGCACAAGCAGCTACCATAATTTATGAATGTATTAAAATAATTAAACAAAATTTCCTCAGGTATGTTGAATTTTGTCTACACTGCTTAAAGTTCGGATGCATACTGAAGCCTGTGTACTTTCACAGTGAATACCCAGCTTTGTGTTACTAAATGGGTCGGAAGACACCTCACACTGGAATAAGACCGTAAGGCCAGGAAAAAGGTGACTCACCAAAACTGCACCTACCTTTGCTCTGTCCACTTTAATTTTAAGGTGCTTGATAAATACTTTAATCTACAAAATGTTTTTAATCTACTAAGGTAGATGAGGAGGGCATTATACATGCATGCAGAATGTGATTGCTAAAGTTGTCTAAAACTCAAGTCAGTAGCAGAGGCAAGAAGCAAACACTTGCCTTTGGTTCTGTACCCATGAGGCCCTTAGCCCTAGTGAATAAAATTTCACTGCATCCCCCACTTCTGTACTGCAGTATTAGCCCCAGAAATAGGCATGCAGATCTCCTAATCAAACTAAGTCTTGACAAAATGAAAGCAATCAAAAGCAATCAAAACTATGCTTATGTTACTTGCATGTCCTTGCAGTCCCCCCTCAGCATCTAAAGGGACAGTTTTCTCTGTTGTGATGACTTATTTCCTAATAATTTGTCAATACATTGTGTATCCAGAGCAGAAGGCAAGAGAGTGGTAACAAACATGGGAAGGCTAGTGGCACTGAAATCTTCTGTACTCACACCAGTGTGGGCAGGTTCTGGTCTCTAACCTCTATTTCTCATTGCTTAGGGTAGCCAGTGCTTAATACACTTCCAGATCTCCTGAGTGAAAGGCATTTTTCTTCATGAATGAATGAATTTGGGAAAAAATTAATAATTCATCAGTAGAAACAGTACTGAAGACCACTTCAGATGCAAAAAACAAAGAAAGTTTGTTCACATGGTTAAGTTTGATCCTGACTTTATGAAGCAGGCCATTTATGGCTAAGTTTTATAATTCCCCCATAAGGTGACCTGGCACGATGGGAAACAACAGAACTAGCTACAGCTTTAGGAGTGACTGTCTGCAACACGTGACCTTTGCCACCAGTAGAGTAGACAAAGGAGAAAGAGAAGCAACTTTCAGTGTAACCATGTGTAACGTGGCGGCTGGGGAGACAAAGAATCCACGACTTGTGCTCCAGGTGCTCATGAGACAAACAACCTCGTTTATTATTCAGAACTCACTTGAATACTCAATTCAAATTTCCCAGGCTAGACAGCCATTGGCTGAGACTTCTCTCCCTGCCCAGTGTCCTGGCCAGTGGTGTGCAGTGGTTCAGACATAAATTACACTAGCCAAACTAGATTTGTGTTATGGCTAGACCACATCCATGTTATGTCAAATTTACTTTGTCCAGTCCAGACCAGCTGCACTGTGACACTACTGCAACAACCATAGACATATATGAGCCAGGGACACCATGAGATCTGCTCCTTCTTCCGCTTGGGTCTCTTGATCTCCTTTCACCACTTGCAGACAGGACATAGTGTTCACAGGAACAACCCAGCAGGTTTAATTCTATAATAAACAATTAATTACTTCCAAGAGTAATTCCTCTCCTCTTGCTAAAGGCTATAGGGAAAGACGTTACCTGGAGTGGGTAGAATTGCTAGTCCAAGCACGGTTGACCTGCCTTGTGCTAGATAAAATCAGAGAAGACAATGGCCCACAGCTAATGCCTTAACATGCTGAGTGGGATTACAAACCAAGGATTGCACTTTGTATGAACAAGCAGCAAGCAGACTGCCAAGACCTCTCTCTAAATACATTTTAAAGTGGGTTATTGTGAGGAGTGTGAGCATTATGATCTCAGCTGCTAACAAGTGGGAAGCAGTTTGCAAGTGGGAACTCATTCTCCCAACAATCCAGGCTTTGACCCATATTTGTGCTGTGCAGTTAATCTAAGTGGAATTAGTGGTGATGAAGGGGCCATATGGACAGCCCTTGAGACAGAAATCTTATTTAGCCACAGAAATTTCCGTGTCCAGTAGCATTATAAGGTACATCTTACGTGCATGTGCCAAAGCCACATGCATTTCTTTCCAGCTGCCTAAACAAGGACTATCCAACCCCAACTTTCTGTAAGATAGAAGGGAAAAATTCTGTGATTCCTAGGTTCATGCAAAATAACTAGAAGAGTTGTTCCAATGCATTTTTGATATAGCACACAGAACACCTACCAGTGCTTTCCAATTAGTGCCATGTTTGTCTAGGTTTGAAGAGAAGACATCCAAGAACACACCTATTAGTAGTCTCAAAATATTTTCTTCAAATTTCTAAACAAACACTGTGTTAAAACCAAAATGTGTTTTTCCATACTACCACATATTTGCCTCCCTCTCTTCTCAGTCTACAGCTACAGCTCCTTTAGTGGTACCCAAGAACTGCTTACACCAAAACTTCCAGTTAAGATCTCCTTCAGTTATTATGAGAGTGTAAGTCAGAGAGGAGCATAAGCAGAAGTTATGACTGCACTTAGATCCTATTTTTCATGGAAAGCGAGGCTTATAACCTAATTCCTTTGTGTCCTTACACGGCACATGAATTGTGTCTACACAAACTTTGTAGGACACCATGCATATTTTTCACATACAAGATAGCAGCATATCACACAGCTGTCAGAGAAGCATCCCTTGTTAACATTCTTCAGCTTGTTTTATGAACTGAGATTTTGCAGAGAAGAGTAAATAGAATAAGCTGTCAAAAAAAAAGTGCTAAATGATGGTATAAGAGTAGAGACACAGGCAAAGATAGGTGCACCAGGAGTCCATGCACTGACTGAGTAAACAGGAATTATTTTTCCTTTCAGTTAGATTATATGTGCTGGAAGGACTATGGTAGTCCAGAACCCTTTAATTTCTTAAAATGCAATGGCAGATTAGCAAAGCTGCAGCTGGATTCATTGTTGTTCAGCATATGTTAGCAGAAACAACATCTGGTGCCCTTCCTTACATTTCTTTAAGTTTTCAAATGGGAACATGTCTTATTTAATTACTTTCTAGCCATGCTACGCAAGGCATCCCATACACAGTCCTTTGGTAGATTCCTCTGCATGAGTGCAAGTTTGGAAGTATTACAGCAGTTCATTGCCTTTCATATGCTTTCATGCTAATCACTGAAGTTCTGGCTTGACCACTATTGACACACATACAGACAATTCAAAAGCTCATTTCTACAGACACCCTAAAACTATCAGGCAAGCACAGAACAAGTACAAATGTCACCAGAAGAATGGGTAGAGCTTCAAAGACAAGCAGAAAATCTCACCATTTGCCTGTATCCCTGTCATCCCTGACCACCATCTTTGCCTGACAGAAGAACATTAGTCTTTCAAAAGAACATGACGATAAAACAGAGGCAACATTACATCTTGAGTTGGCCCTGTATGGAGATATGCATATACATGTATGCCATTGCCCTATTGCACATTCCAGAGCCAGACTACTCGGGCTTCATTTGTCCCTGGCTTCAACATTCAGAGAAAGGGTCGTATGTTTGAGGAGATAGCGTAGGGATCCATTTATGGCATGTCTGCCTTCAGCCCTGAGAAAAGAGACTGAAACTATATTCACTCTCCATCTTTCTACTGAGCTTAGGGGTAAATTGCAATTTAGTAACACATTTTTCCCAAGAAAAAAAAGCTCAAGTGTTTACACTGGAGCTTCACCCTCCCTTCCATCAAAGCAGTGCACTGGAACACTTACACACCAACACAGTGTTCCTAGCTAAGAAGTGTTTGGGCAACTCCCAATAATGCATTGTCCAGCCTGAACTCTCACTTGGACAAGGCTCCAAGAATTAGACCTTTTCTCCTCCAGGCAGTAAAACAGCAGTAACATCTCATGCATAAAAAACAACCCCAGTCCTGCTTTTACTTTTTAAGTTAGTAATGTTTCCACAAACTCTGTATCAGATCCTAAATTTGTTTATACTGAAAGTTCCTTGGAACAGTGGCAACTTTTCCTTTAGCTCCTGACTGGACCTTAGTTGCAAAGAATAATAGTCAAATCTGCATTGGCAACATTTTCCATGGGCAGGCATGAGGCCCAGAGAAAGTAACAAAAATTCTCTCACCCCAAATACATTCTCCTGCGCTTGCTCTGCAGTCTCAGTTGAAGCATATTCACCTCAGAGGGGGTGAGTTTGCCTTTGAATCCATTGATTATGATCACATAGTCATAGCAACACCTTCCCAAAACACTACTAATACTGGACCACCCAGAATGGTATCAGAATGAACTAATGGATAATGGGATGAACTATCTTAAACCATACAAAGTACACTGAATTCACCACACCAGATTAGCACTGCTATTTATTGGTTACAATATCTATATGGACAGGTGTTTATACTGTAAGGTCATCCATTCCAAGAATTTAAGCACTCAAAAAGGTGGCAGAAAAGAACAGGTACTGAAAAGTGCTCTGCTTCCCCATTCTGCATTAGACCTCCTTGCAGAAGGCCATTCTCCCTCCCCACATCAGTACCAAAAACCTCTTGCAAATATTGTTCTCCTTAGTGTTTAGGTGATGACTTGCTTCATACACAAATTCAGCTCTAAATTTCATGCTTTATGGATAAATGTACAGGTCATGCTACCCCGCACTTGACAGAAAGATATTCCTGTTAGATGAAGGTCAGAGTGGACCATTATAACCATCAAAAATGACCTCTTGTAGAGCCCAAACTGCAGAATCTCACCTAATAACTTCCTATTCACTCTCACAGAGGTAGAAACAGAGTTGTCACTGCATGGTATACTGTAGGTTTTTTTTCTGACTCCCATTTACAACAGGCAGGAAGTGTCTCAACAGCCAAAGACAGCCATCAATTCATGTTTGATAACCATTCAAATTACCTTACTCCTTGATCCTCCTTACCAAGGATCAGTAAATGCTTTACTAATATCAACAAATTTAGTCTTGAGTCATGATTATAAAGGAATCTTCTTTCTCCTAACTCCAGATAAAGAAAGAGAATTAGAAGCCATAAAACTACACCCATACAAAGCAGTATTGGAAGAGTCACAAACAGAACCTAAATGTCCTGCTTTCAAGATCAGCTTGATTTTTAGACCAACAGTTTCCTTTAAAGTAACCAGGTAATGCAGGTAACTAGGGGTTAATTTTCATTGTTTCATCGTCTTGCATAGGAGAGATTGCAGAAGGGATAATAATCACATCCTGTGATCTCTGCAATACTGAAAAGCAGCAAGGAAAGTCTGATCCCCAAACTTTCATGTTGTTCGTGTCCTTCTCCAAAACAGTATCTTTCCATCAATGAAAGCATTACAGAATTTCATATGTAGAGTGATATGGTAGGACTGCTCAATTATAGAGAAAGCAGCAATTCTTTTAGTGGGGGGGCGCCACAGACTACAAACGTGAAAGGAGAAACAAGATCCAAAAGGACAAGACAAGGTTCATTTTGGTTCTTTGTGGTCTCTTTCAGGGGCAGAGGACTGGGGTGAAGCAGTGAGCTGAAATGAAAAAAAAAACAACCAACAAACCAACAACAGAAGAAGTTCCAACAAAACCCCCACCAGACTACAACAATATTCATTGTACTTCAGTGCTTCTAAATGTCTCCTGCCTTTGTGTGAATGCAACACAATATTGAACCTGCAAAATACAAGTTTCACCACAAGAATTCTTTCTGCAGCTTAGCAAACATCCACTGGTAGATCACCAAATTGTAGCTGATCAGGTATAGATAGCATAGACTCTCAGACATTGCAGGCAAAACATTTAGGAATACTGCTCAAATGTAATTTTCTTTCCAGTGTAGTATGTATTTGTGACTGAGGCAACCAAAAAACATTTACACTACTGTAGCTAAGAAATAGCTACAAGTTCACTGCCTCTGGCCAAACTCTTTGCTTACTCATAGAAAAACATGTCTGACTTCAGTAAGATTTTCTCAGCATTTCAAAGATGCCCTTGGTCTCCAATGGGATGCAAGGTGTAAACAAACCAAGAACTTGAGCCAAATTTGCTTACTCTTTAAGACAACTACAAGTTACGATTCCCAGCAATTTTTATGATGCCATTATTTTGTTCCCATCAATACCACTTGAACTCAGTGGCTTTCCTTTTGACCTGTTCAGCTGATTCTTCTCATTTTCCAGGCTAATCATAATGTTCCAAGAAAGATACAATATCCTCCTATAATTTGCTTTTGAATATATTAAAGCACTCTGGTTCTACTCTTCAGAATCCCATTAAGTTCTGCTTAATAATCATGTAGTTTCTTCCCTCAGAAACAGCAAGTAGGCTCCTCCATTCTGCCTGGTATTCTGCCTGTTTGTGATCTTCGCCATAGACAAGTCTTTCCAGGGACAAAGAATTCCTGTATGTGCTATGGGTATACTGTTGTGAGATGCCTCAGGGAGGCAAAGAGTTAGTTTCAGATAAGCATTGTTAAAGGAGAGGCATGGCTGTAAGCCATGAGTGTGAATTTTAACCCCCTGTGTTGGGGAATGGGCAGTGCGAGCCCTGGATGAAGTTACCCTACCTCAAAGCCAGTGTGAAGGGCGGCCCAGGAGTTCTGATTAGGTTTGAGTCCCTAGGGGTTTCTCCATTGCTGTGTTTCTAGTGGTCCCTGACCCTGAACTCCACCCTAGTTCTGTTCCTCAAAACCCATCACCCTACCTTTGTTTGGGGCTCTCTGTTCTAGATCTGAGTTGTTCCCATGCTGAATAAATGGTTTCATGAACAGACGCCCGTCTCGTTGGTGTTCCATGATGGTCCCCAGAACCCTGCGGCTTCCCTGGACATGATCCTGAGGTTGCGAACTACAGCAGTATACCATGGATAAGAAAAATATTTAGAGATGTAAGATAGACACTTTAATTAGCAAAAAAAAAGGCTACAAAAAACTGTATTTGTAACTTCCAGGATTTAAGCAGACCTTGAACAGGAGTCAGAAAGAACATGTCCTCTCCACCACCTTTTTAGTTTGTAAAAAAAACCAAACAAACAAATGTAAAGAAGGGAGATATTTTCCCTTAACTCTATGTCAAATGGCTCCAGGACAATGGAGAAGAAAGATTATCTCTAAGAGTAAGTAGGAAATATGGGAATCTTTAACTGTGTGATTTGTATAGGATGACTAGGAAGTTTTGCTCACCATGAAGTTTAGCTCATCTTTTCCTCAGCATAATGATTTTCTATTTTCCTTTCCAAAATCATTATTCCTCAAGATGTAAGTTGACCAGAAGCTGAGAGCAAGAACAATGGCAAATAACATGTGCAAGTAATGCAGGGGAATATGCATTGGCTTTTATTAAAAACAAGATTCCAGCTAAAATGAGTACTTGGTCTCCCTTTGCATGGTTGTTAAAGTGCTACATTTTGTTACTGTAAACAGGACTTTCTAACCTTACCATTTCTGTACAAATTTAATATTAATTTCTGCTGCAGTTGCTGCCAATAGAAGGTCCTGGAATACAGGGCACCACCACAGTCAGAAGGAAAAATATGTACAATGTAACCAGGGATCGGTTAAAGAAAACACAGAAGAACATTGTACTTGGCTGTACAAGTAAACCATGAATACATCTTGAGAAATATTCTGAATTATCAACTGCAATAAAACTCTCTCAATGAGGAAAACAGGGATGTCCTGAAAAACTATGAGTTCTGGCTTTCTGTGTTTACTTCATGCATGGTTTGAAAATATTCCAGAGAGAAAGAGAGAGATGAGAGAGCGGCTGAGAGAGGGAAAAGAGAGAGTGGCGAGAGAGAGGGAGGGAGAGAGTGAGACAGAACACAGCCAAAGAAAGAGCATTTTTCCCAGAAGTTACAGATTTAAGCATTGTCCCTGTAAGAAGAAAGATGGCAAAACACCATTTGGAACATGGATAGGAGAGCAGGGATACAGAAATAAAGAAGGGTTTTATCTTTTTATCTTTTATCTGCTTCTTATTCAAACTTAAGTTTGACTGAGAGCTGAATTGCTATTTTGGGGGCAGCAGTTCCTCCAAAAAGAATGTATTTGAAGAAAGGAAAATGAAGCAAGCCTGAAATAATGATCAAAGAATGAAAGTGCCAATAATTACACAGGTGTATGTTTAAAGTGGGGAGCAATTTAAAAGTTATAAATCAAGAGACTTTAGAAACAGCCATAAAGAACTCAGATCTTTTCCTCTCAATGTCAGCACATAGCATGATCCTCTCTGTCATCTGTTATAGATAGTCCTTTTGCCCATCTTTAGGCAACAGTTGGCAATATTTGTAAGATACAAGCCAGAAACAGCCTTCTTCACCATTACAGTAGTAACTACTTCCCCTGAATTGAGGAAAACTCTCCTCATAATAATAATTTATTATTATTATTATATATATTATAATATATATATATATATATAATATATCCTCATAATTTATGTTTCCACATAAATTCCCCATTTCCTATTAAAAATGTTGCATTGCGCTGCAACCACATCATGTCCAGGGAGGATGCAGCCACTGGTGATCGATGTGGAAAATAAATGAGATAGGCCCCCGTTTGGTCAAACTTGGGAATCCATTTATTTGGGGTGCCACCAACATTTGATTTAACTGAGCATAAACCGGAGACAAAGAACCAAGAATAAAGGCAGGGTGGTGGATTTTATGGGGTAGAGCAAGGGTGGCGTTTAGGCTCTGGGCCCAATAGGGATACAGCAAGAGAGAAGTCTCAGGGGTACAAACCAATATGGGTACAATAGGAGGAATTATTAAAATAAATGCAGCAGAATATAAGGAATAGCAACACAAGAAGGGTAGAGCGTTCTGGACTAATAGTTTATAAGGGACTGGGGCGGGGAGTAACTCTTCCTGGGCTTATAGGGCACATCCCCCAAGGCAGAGGGGCAGAGTCCATTCCTCCCAGGACTTAAATCCACGCCCCTCACCATAACACTCCCCGTCTAAAATCAAATCCTCGCCTCTTTGGGCGGGGGCATTCCACATGAAATATAACGTCTAAGAATGTGAACATTTTACTCCCTACAGAACCTGGATGTGTTTGTGCAGGAAGAAGCAACTATTCAAATTACTCCTCTATATCTAAGCACTAGAAATTCATCATTTTCGTGTTGGTATCCTAGGAACACTGCACAGAAACATTGTGTCTGCATGCACTTGGATGGAAGACTGGGGTTTTTTTTTAATATTTGCTTTAGCCCCATCTTGATATGGTTGAAAACTGCTTAGTCTTCAACTTCTTACCTGCTGGTGTTAGCCTATTATTTTTTTATTTTTTTAGCAACAGCCAAGATTTAAAAAGTAGTTCTAAACTTTGAAAAAATAAACCTAATAGTCTGTTGCAAATGCTTGTTAAGAGGCTGAATTCTGTGTTATCTCAGGCATTTTTTAGGATGCCTCAACTGTATGCAGGGACAAGACACAGTAAGAGTTTTAAGAAAGAAAAAAAGAATAAGCAACAAACCTTATCTTCCCATCTTCATCATAAAAATGCAAAGCTACCCCTATGGCCCTCTGCAAAAGAATGCATTTCCTGGAAGCAAAGCGACGTCTCACTAATGAACATATATAAGATGTACTGTACAAATATAGGTTGGAGGTCACAAAACCCCACTGCAGACCAGCAAAAAAGAAAAAAATTCCTCATATTTCAGGAGATTCTGACAGAGCCACATTTCACAACACAGCAGCTGAGTAAGGATTTTTAAAAAACAACGAAAACATCAAAGCATGTTTAAGGTCCCAGATACATGATTCCTGCTCAAAATAAAAACTATCTGCTCCTTATGTTGAAAGGAAGAGAGACATGGATGTGATTGTGGGTTTGTCCAGTGACGTGCATCATAGTATGAAGTTCTCAGATCCATGAGGAAGAACACAAACACATGTTCATACATCCCAGGACAGAAGTGACTGGGTGCTTATTCACACAGGCAAACACGTGCAATTCCTAGCACTTCTCTGTATACAAAACAGATTAAGAGCCTGGGTGAAATAGCTTGGCGGTCAGAAAAGAGTGATATTTCTCATGCAAAAAATACCACCCAAGTTGCAGAAGTAATTTTTCTTGCTACTCTTCCATTCCACATGCAGGTTGGCACTTCATGCCGACATGAAGTCATAGTATATTCCAGTGTCCTGAGGTAACTTTATGATGCTTGTATCCCCAATTGTCTGTTCTGTTTATGTTACACATCAAGTCTGCACCTTTAAGACTGGTTCTGAGAGCAAAGGTGGGGAAAGAAGCCACAGCTTGTTTTCAGAAATGGCACTCACTCCTCTGTATGCTTCTCTGGACTGTTGCCTGAAGCACAGTCAGACAGCAGGACAGTGCAATCCTTTGCTGTTAGTTAATTTTTAACTAGCTGAGGCAGAGAAGTTCCCCAGTGTTTTTTCCTTTTCCTTGGATCTTTTCAAACCTGCTCTGGACTGAAAACCCAGGAAAACACTGGGAGCTCTTGCCTGTGGCCCACTAGGGCCTGGGCCTTGGCACTTTCCAGCACTGGAGGGACTTATAAAAACCTGAGTGAGCCAAGCTACATCCCACAACAAGGACTTCTAAATTTGCCATCTCTTTCAACAGTGAGAGGTTTTATTGTTTAATATTATTAATTTTTATGCTTGTGGATACTTTGCTTGTTAAATAAACATTTTTTTCCACTTTACTCCAAGGAAATCTTT